TATTGGGGGGGGGATGTGCAGATCTGCCCTCACAGAGGAGGGAGAGCTTGTACCTGAAGGCAGGCCGGGTGGGGGGGGGGGCTCTGCAACTTACCTGGCTGCTTCTTGCTCCTCGTGGCCCAACTGAGGGCTGCTGGGAACAGGGGGTGGGGCTTGTTGCATGTGCCCGCCCCCTGGGCTCCTTACTGCCGGAGCGCCGCTCCTGTGCGCTCCGACAGGAAATGGCCCCTGGGTGTTGCTCCTGGGTGGTGGCGGCGGGGAGTCTTCTTTGGGAAGTCCTAAAAGAGCGTAGTTTGTGTCCTGATTCTTTGCTGTGAATTCTTTGATCCAGTTGGGCAGTTTTTCCTCCCTCGCATCTGCAGTGAATGATAAAATGGATGGATTTTAAGCCATCTTCCCAAAAGCAGGAACATCCGCCCACCAGCCCAGCCCAGACTGCCTAATCCAGTCTCTAGTGAGTCATCAGTCAGAGAGCAGCTGTGTTGCCTGCGGAAGAGTAGTTGTAGAGAACTCGTGCAAATAAGCCATGCCAGAACACTGCTCCTTCCCTGCCTTTTCCTTTCAGTCTTCTAGTCGGCACACTCAAGGGAAATATATATACCCTCCAGCTGTTTCCATTGACCAGGTCAGGGGTGGGCACCAGGATAACTTTTCCAGGTCTGTGGGTCCCCGAAATGTCAGTATTTTGTAAAACAGCTCTGTGTGTTTATGGGTTGGACACCTGGGTTGGCTTAACCAGCAAGGAAGGGTGAGCTTGAAGGGGCCAAACAGGCCATCTAGTCCAGCCCCCGCCCTGCTGAATGCAGGACCAGCCTAGAGCATCCCTAACAAGTGTTTGTCCAGCCTCTGCTTAAAGACTGCCAGTGAGGGGGAGCCCACCGCCACCCGAGGCAGCTTGCTGAGCGTGTGCAATAGAAGAGATGCCTTTTCACCAAATCAGTGACCTTCCGTGTCCACCCCATATTGCCGTGGGCCATCCGGTGGCAGAAAAGCAGCCCATAGATGTTCCATGCTCTCCTCTCTCACTAGTTTGGTTCTCCTCCTCCTCCTCCTCTTCTCTCTCATAGCGCTGCAAACTGGCTGAAGCCCCCCCGAGCTCCGAGGAAGAGTGGCAGGCCGCGCTACCTGAGCCCGGCCTATTGGCGGAACAACACCAGCAAGCTCCTTTTCCTGGGCGGCTACGGGTGTGTGAACCTCCTCCTCTTTGCCTGCGCGGCACTGAGGCACGCCGACTCTGGTGTCTGGACGATGCTGGCCAGAGGCTGTGGGCAGTGCCTGAACTTCAACTGCACGTTCATAGTGGTGAGTGTAACGGCTCCCACCATTCAAGATGCTGACTCTGACCTTCGAAACCCTTCCAAGAGCCTTCGTGGCAGGGGGCTTGCGTACCTGAGATGTCCCCTTTCTTCATAGGAATCCCACCATTGCAATGAGCGAGTTGGGCCCTGGTCTGGGCCGGGCTGAGGCTTGTCCGGCTATTGTGGAACGACACCCTCCCCCACAAAGGAAGGTCCAGGGTCCTTCCTCCAGTTTTACTTTTTCGAGAGGATGTCTTTCTTGAAATAACTGGGGCTGCGGTGGCTCAAGTGGTTGAGGCGCTGAACTGCAGACCGGAAGGTCGTTAGTTCAGCAGTTCGAGACCCGAGTGTCGCATTGACGGAGTGAGCTCCCGTCTCTGGCCCCAGCTCCTGCCAAACCTAGCAGTTCGAAAGCAAGAAATTGCAAGTAGATAAATAGGTACCGCTTCAGGGGGAAGGTAACAGCGTTCCGTGCGCCGCAGCGTCTAGTCATGCCGGCCACATGACCACGGAGATGTCTTCGGACAGCGCTGGCTCTTCAGCTTGGAAACGGAGATGAGCACCGCAGCCCTAGAGTTGGATTCGACTGGCTTTCGAGCAAGGGAAACCTTTACCTTTCTTGAAATCCTTTCTGGCACTTGAGTTTTCCATGACTGTGGCCAGAATTTGATACATCCTTTGTTCTGCGTGCGAGTGTTTTTAGTCTGTTCTAGTTGGTTGCTTTGCTTTTAAACAATGCATTTAATTAGAAGAGGTATATTGTTATGTATCAGGGTCGGAACATTCCCGGACTGTTTACCAGAGACTGGCGGAGCTTGGAGCTCTAGAACAATAGCCCACCAGGACTCTGGAGGTGGCCAGTGAGGAACTAATGTGATGTAAATAGCCTATCGTTGGGTGTGATTGGGTGTGGTTTTTGCATGCTATTTAAACAGGGCTGTTGCCCTGCAGTTTCTAGTCTTGTTCTTGAAATCACTTAATAAAATAGAGCTTACTCGATAAATAATAAGCAGATACATAGCTAGGGATCCCCACCAGAGAACTCTCTCCCTAAGCTGCAATTCACAGGCTTCTTTGAGGGAAACCACTGTGGTTAAACTAGTATCAAGCGGGCGCATTTGTAGTTCAGATGCGCCCTTTCTGTCTCTGCACAGGGCAAGTCAGTTCTTAACTTCCTGTACTTGATGGCTCCTTTCCCACAATCTGCATTTCATGAATAATCTTTCCACCTAAACTCCATGCAGGGTGTCTCCTGTTTGACAGACAACAACTGCCATGTTGGCCCCAAAGGACAGGAGTTAACCCAATATTGATTGGTTGTCTGGTTTAAATATATTTATAGCTAGGGCTACTTTTGGGCAGGAACGCACAGGAACGGAGTTCCGGCTGGCTCTCAAGTTGGCCCCGCCCAACAGGAACTCATTAGCATAATAGGCCACACCCAACAGCAGGAACTCATTAGGATTGGCTACATTAGGGGTGTGTGGCCTCACATGCAAAGGAGTTCCTGCTACAAAAAAAGGGCCCTGGGTTTTGACAACAAACAAGGTAAACAGAATAAGAAGCAAAAGGTTCCCTGGGGGGGTTCGAGCGGGATAGAAACCGAAATAATAAATAAATAAATAAATAAATAAATAAGGTGGGTGTGGCTGGATAATTAGTGTGGACTAATATGCTAATGAGTTCCTGCTGTTGGGTGTGGCCTATTATGCTAATGAGTTCCTGCTGGGCTTTTTCTACAAAAAGAGCCCTGTTTATAGCCCACATTTCAGTTCAGAGACATTTCAAAGGGGTTCCCAAACAGAGATGAATAGGTCGCATCACGGCCGTCAAACCAGCCGGATGACCAGCAGTTGAAACAGCGACCGCATAAAAACAGGTAAATCAGTTAAAAGCCCAGGAGAGGAAAATGTTTTTTATCCAGCCCCGAAGGCCAGTTAGAAAAGGCACCTTGACAAAGGGGGAGGGGTTCTGTAGGCGTGGTGCCCCCACAGAGAAGGAAGGCTGTGGTTGCAACCCGCCTCTGCTCTGAAGGACCTCATTAAACCAAGGGTCATTTCCTGCAGGAGCGCACGGGAGCGGAGCTTCCGGAAGTAAAGAGCCCAGAAGGCGGGCACATCCAACAAGCCCCACCCCCTGCTCCCAGCAGCCCTCAGTCAGAGCGAGAAGCAGCCAGTTAAGCTGCAGAGCCCCCCACCCCCCATCCAAAACAGTCCAGTGGCACCTTTAAGACCAGGTTTTATTCAGGTACAAGCTCTCCCTCCTCTGTGAGTTCACCCCCCCCCCAATAGCTAGCAATCCAAAACAGTCCAGTGGAGCCTGTGGTGGGTGTTGCCTTCTGACACAGTTCCGGTGATGTCAGGGGGTGTGGCATATGCAAATAAGTTATGCCAATGAGCTATGCTAATGAGCTCCTGCACCTCTTTTTCTACAAAAGGACCCCTGCATTAAACAATATTAATGGAAAGGCAGGTTTGCATGTGAGAACAATGTTCCGTGCTGTGGAGGGCTTTAACCCGGCACTTTTGCATGGTTCCTAGAAACCATCGGGAAACCAGTGAGAGCTTTCAGTGCCCCTCAGACCCGGTTCAGTGGGAAGTCCCAGTTAGCCGTCTGGTTGCCGCACTGTGATCCGCTTGAAGTTCCCCAGTCGCATCCTAGTGCAGCCCCGCGTGCTGTGATATTTTTACCGTGTGAAACTCCCAACATTTGGGCAGACTGGGATTTAAGAAGCCTGTCCTCTCCCAAGCACAGCGATCAATATCGTTGCAATATTTTCATTCGTTTTATTTTAAAACACTCTTATGCCGTCTTTTCACCTGAGAAGGATTCCCAAGGTCGTGAACATTAAAAAAAAAAAAAAAACACATTTGAAGCATTAAAATAATGTTAAATTATTAAATAAAGACGCATAGATGACCAATGTGAGAACCAGGGAAGAGAGCCAGTAACTGGTTATTGGTATGCCAAACGAAACAAAAAAGTCTACACCCACTGTAGACACCAACGGAAGTAGGCAGACAAATCTTCCAGGGAAGGGAATTCCACAGCTTTGGTGCCACACAATGTTCCGTCTAAGCCAGGGGTGTCAAACATGCGGCCTGGGGGCCGGATCAGGCCCCCGGAGGGCTTACATCAGGCCTGCACTGGAACTGGCCGTCTTCTGCTTCCAGTTCTGCTGCTGCTGCATCATAGCTTGCTTCGCCAGACTCTCTTAATCACTCAGCCATTGCATGTTTTCACCTGCGTCCTAGACTCAGAACTCTGAGCATGAGATTTCTGTGGTAAATGTCAGTCAGTCAAAAGTAGGTTAGCAGCTTACAGAGCTAATGTTTTAAGCATGTTTTTATTTTAAGCCAAAAAAACCCCTTTGTTTTTGTGTCCTTTATAAAGTTTATATCTTCGCTACCTGGCATTACATTTTATGACACACGTGGCCCGGCCCAACAAAGTCTCATTTATGTCAGATCCGGCCCTCATAGCAAATGAGTTCGACACCCCTGGTCTAAGCTATGGAGTCCTGTGAACAAAAATCCCACTTTGTGAGCTGCGGGCCTTAAAGTTGTGAGCGGGCGATTTGGCCACTGCATCAGTTAGTTTGCTCTGGAGCCCCATCCTCCCTGAGCTAAGATGAAAATGTGTGAGCCGGAGGCTAAAAAACGGTGAGCTGGCTCACACTAACTCAGCTCAGAGGGAACACTGGTGCCACGACTGAGAAGCCCCTTCCTTGGGTGGCCACCCGTCTAGCCTCAAATGGGCCTCCGAGGATGCCTGTAGCGTGCGGGTAAGTTGTATCCCCATTTCCTAATCTTTCCATGATTTTTTTTAAAAAAATGGAGTTGATTTTTTTTTTTTAACTCAAAAGCATGGTAAAATTTTGGCAGAAACATCCCAAGATGCAAAAGGAAGTACCAAGCAAAGACCGCCGTCTGGCACACCAGGGAATCTCGTTCCCCTTGCTGACCACCCAGGTCCCTCCAGTGGGACGCTCCCCAGATAAAGCCTTCCCTGGTTTCCTTTTCCTTCGAAGGTGCTGATGTTACGTCGGTGCCTAACATGGCTGCGAGCTACCTGGGCCGCTGCGGTGCTGCCTCTAGACCAGAACGTCATTCTGCACCAGCTGGTGGGCTACGTCGTGGTGGCCCTGACTGCTGTCCACACCGGGGCTCACGTGGCCAACTTTGGTGAGCACCAGTTTCTGGGCCCTTTGGTGTAGTGGTGAAGTGCGCGGACTCTAATCTGGGAGAACCAGGTTTGATTCCCCCACTCCTCCACTTGCACCTGGCTGGATGACATTGGGCAAGCTGTAGTTCTGACAAGAGCTGTCCTTGCAAAAGAGCCGTTTCTGTCAAGAGATCTCTCGGCCCCACCCACCTCACAGGGGAGAACTGGGTTTGATTCCCCACTCCTCCCCTTGCACCTGGCTGGATGACCTTGGGCAAACCATAGTTCTGATAAGAGCTGTCCTTGAAAAAGAGCAGTTTCTGACAGAGTTCTCTCAGCCCCGCCTACCTCACAGGGTGTCTGTTGTGGGGAGGGGGGGAAAAAGAGTTTGTAAGCTGCTCTGAGACTCCTTTGGGTAGTGAAGGGCCATGGGGTATAAATCCAGTCTCTTCTCTCTTCTCTCTTCTTCTTCTTCTTCTTCTTCTTCTTCTTCTTCTTCTTCTTCTTCTTCTTCTTCTGCTGCTGCTGCTTCTGCTGCTGCTTCTTCTTCTTCTTCTTCAAATTAATTGCCATCTGTTTTAAATCTAAAGGCAGCAGATGTCAGGGTTACCAGCTCCGGGCTGGGAGATACCTGGAGATCTTGGGGGTGAAGCCTGGGGAGGGCGGGGCCTGGGAAGAGGAAGGACCTCAGCAGAGCATAATAGCCATAGAGTCCACCCTCCAGAGCAGCCATTTTCTCCAGGGGACCTGATCTCTATTGTCTGGAGATCAGTTGTAATTCTGGAAGATCCTCAGGCCCCACCTAAAGGGTGGCAATTCTAGTGGACATACATTTCAAATTTTAAGAATAAAATGTACATGGTATGAGTACGACGACAAAGAAAACTGAGTCCTAAGGCTGCCATGGGCTTTGGTGCAGGAGTAACGGATGCTCCTCCGCCCAGCCAGTTCCGGTGTCCTGGTTCCGATCTCCATATGGAACCTTCTGACTGGGGCGTGGCCTGAATTGCCTCCTCCGGCTTTCCTTTCCCTGCAGCGAGAATGTCTCGGGCCAAAGGCAGCTATCGCCTTTGGGAATACCTGTTAACAACCCGACCCGGGATTGGCTGGATCTACGGCACTGCCTCTCTCTCGGGCCTTCTCCTCCAGGTGCTCATTGGCCTGATGCTCGTCTGCTCCTGCCCCTTCCTCCGCAAGAGTGGCCACTTTGAGGTAAGGAGGCCAGCTTCCGCTTCACCCTCTTTACTTTACTTTGCTTGCTTTCCAAGTGGCACCAAGCACACGAAAGAAAATGGAGCATGAAGCGTGTCTAGGAGCATGTGCAGAATGTGTTTCCTTCCCATTTGAGAATGGACAGTCTGGCCCCACATCTCTGGGACTGGGGGAAGAGCTTCAGGAATAGAGTCTGGGGGCACCTAGGTGGGTATGAGCCCCAGCACCTCTCAAATGACCCTGTGGCAGAATGTGCCTGTTCTGGCCTGCAGGCCCTGTTCCACCCTGCCCTCCAAGGTTTTCTCAACCCCTGGAGAGGCTTTTCTTCCACTCTCAGGTAGCTCACCATCACCACCTGACCTTTGTACAGAATTGCCCTCTGGGAGGGTCAGGACTCCCAGCTTCCCTTCCAAGTTCCGAGGGCTTGCCTCTGTGTCGCCCATTGCCCGGTCACCACGGGATCAGTTTACTGCCGTGCGTGCCCTTGGAAGAATAGCCACTTGCTAACCCTTGGTGCTCCTTCTGAAATAGTATGTCCGAGATGGTGGAGATCTGTGTGGTACAGAGAGCCACTCCCAGCATCCAAAGTTATAAAGTATTTATTAAAAAGAAAACGTTTACAAGCATACTTTTAGCACAGCACCAAACTGAGCAAGGGTTACAAAAGAAATGGGCAAAAACGCAAATCCTCTGTCCCTCTCTCCAAACATGCCCTATCAGATGTTAAAATAGGACGGGCTCCTTCACTTAGGAAGTTACAGGTCTCTATAGCAGTACCATTACCTTGAAGCTCCCTTCAGGTGTCCAGGCCAACCACATGGTCAATGGCTGCCTCCTCAACTGAGAGTCCTGTCTCCTCTCATGGCCTCAGCACCCAAGGAAAAGAAAGCTCCTTCCTGCTTCAAGGAGTTTTTATCATGTCAGACCAAGTCAGAGAAGCTCTTCCTGAAAACTCTAAACATTTATTTCCTGGTGTCCCTCTAGCATTTAACACCTCCACACCTCTGTTCCCTGCTAGGAAGAGGGGGGAGATCTTGACCCACCCGTTATCTCTCCTGCTCGATCTTATTAGCATTTGAATGAAGGTGCACTGAAGTACATCTGGAAAGCCATTGCACAGACGCTCCCCCCCCATGCCTGTTCTCAGCCCAGAAAAAAACTTTTAAAATGCACAGTAGAGGCTTTGCTCATCTCAAACCTCCCAGGAGAATAACTGCATTTCTTTCTTTTTCAATATTTTTTTAATTCTGAAGACATAACAAATATACACGGGGGGGAAATGCAAAAGATTCTGAAATGTTCCTTTAAGAAAGCGCCAGAAATTCTGCTCTTAGGACTTAAAATGGAAGAACTGAATATTACAAAAAGGACTCTATTTGGGTATCTGATTACAACGGCGAGACTACTCTATGCACAATGTTGGAAACAAGAAAGAATTCCAGAGTTAGAAGAATGGATACAAAAAACTTTGTTTATGGCGGAGATGGACAAAATTACAAAAAAATTGAATAACAAAGAAGATCAGGAATTCTATGAAGAGTGGAGAGACTTTAAAGTTTACCTAGAAAAGAACTGGGATGTGAAACATAACTTACTATATTTGGAACAATATTGAAATAAGAATATGATGTTATCTTAAGTTGTGCTGGAGGGACGAGGGGGGAAGCGTTGCGGGAAGCCAGCGGGAGGGAGAGAGTAAATTGGGGATATTGGTATGGGGTTAAAACTGAAATATTAATTTGAACTGATGATATGTCAATATTTTCATGAAAATAAAATTGTGTTCAAAATTTTTCAATATTTTTTTAATTCTGAAGACATAACAAATATACACGGGGGGGAATTTTCCTTTCAGTTCCTTCTTTGACTCATGCCTAATTTACCTTACATTTATATATTTCACCTTATATCATTGAGAATATCACTAGTAAATATATCAAGTTTGAACGTTGTATGTCCTTAAGAAGTTTTTAATGTCTATATTGTTTACTTAGTATAGTCTTCAAACCACTTATAGAATCTTGACCATGTATTTTCAAATGTGGTTTCTTCTTGTCCTTTCAGAATTAGAGTTAGTTTGTCCATTTCCGCTGTTTCCAAAATGTTGCTTAAAATTTCTTCTCTCGAAGGTGTTTCTGTTTTTCTCCAATATTTAGCATAGAGAATTCTGGCAGTTGTAGTCAAATACAATATAAGAGAAGAGTAATTTTATTTACAATTTTCAGGTAGGATATTCATCAAAAATATTTCTGGAACAAAGGGTACAGAACATTTTAAAATTTTCTGTAAAATTTCGTGAATCCAAGCCCAATATTTTTTTACTTTATCACATAACCACCACATATGGTAAAAGGATCCAACATTATTTTGACACTTCCAACATACATTTGAGCATTTAGGGTCAAACTTAGCCAATTTATCTGAATAACTGCATTTCTCCACAGACAATTTAGAAATCAAATATGTATCTTTGCTCCCTGCTGTATATATTTTTCATCAGAGCACCTTTTGAAAGTGCATATACCTGGCAGGTGCATGTGGCCCTGTATCTACTTTGTTCCATTATCCCAACTATGTCATCCGGTTCTTGGCGCTGATTTGAACTTTATAACCGAAGGAGCTCCTTGGCCCCTCCCACAAGACGTTCTCTCTTTCTGTGCAACTGGCAGGTCTTCTACTGGACCCACCTTTCTTATATCTTCATCTGGGCTTTGCTAATTGCCCATGGCCCTAATTTCTGGAAGTGGTTTCTAGTGCCTGGATTCCTGTTCCTCTTGGAGAAGATTGTTGGTGTCGCGCTGATGCACATCCGAGGGCTGCAGATTGTGGAAATCAACCTCTTGCCCTCTAAGGTTCGTCCCCTAAATGAAGGAGTGGTCAAGTGTTAAGAAAACGTGCCTATGAAGAGGGAAGCTGTGGGCGTAAGGGCTGTAGCAAGAAGCCTTCTAACCAGTGTTCTCTCTAAGCTGAGTTCGTATGAGCTAGCTCACAGTTTTTTCACCTCCAGCTCACACATGTTTGTCTTAGCTCAGGAAGGATGGCTCCAGAGCAAACTAATTTATGCCGTAGCCAAATCGCTCGCTCGCAACTTTAATGCCAGTGGCTAACCAAGTAGAATTTTTGCTCACAAGACTCCACAGCTTAGAGGGAGCATTGCTTCTAACTCACGTGACTGGATCTCTCCTTGTTGTTTTTTTTCTGCCCCAACCCAGGTGACTCATTTGGTGATTAGGAGACCTCCGTTTTTCCATTACAAACCGGGCGACTACGTATATCTGAACATCCCCGTCATCGCCAAGTACGAATGGCATCCGTTCACCATCAGCAGTGCTCCAGAGCAGCCAGGTAATTGGCTGCCCAGAAAGCAGCCAGGCCAAAGGCGGAAACGGTGAGGAAGGCGGTGGCACCCTAAGCAGGAGAGGACCAAGACAGCCCACAGAGCTGCCAGTCAGGGTGCTGCACGACTCGGGACTGGGCACTTGCTGTCTTGATCTCAAGTAGAATCAGGGGTCATTTCATAGAAAAAGAGGTGCAGGAGCTCATTAGCATAACTCATTAGCATAACTTATTTGCATATGCCACACCCCCTGATATCACCGGTCCGAAAGCGTGTCAGAAGGCAGCACCCACCGCTCAGGCTCTACTGGACTGTTTTGGATTGATAGCTATTGGGGGGGGGGGAACGTGCAGATCTGTCCTTGCAGAGGAGGGAGAGCTGGTACCTGAATAAAACTTGGTCTGTTTTATTCACTTGGCCACTGGACTGTTTTGGATTTTGGATTGCTAGCTATGGGGGGGGGGAGACACGCAGATCTGCCCTCACAGAGGAGGGAGAGCTTGTACCTGAAGGCGGGTGAGGGGGGGCTCTGCAACTTACCTGGCTGCTTCTTGCTCCTCGTGGCCTGACTGAGGGCTGCTGGGAGCAGGGGGTGGGGCTTGTTGCATGTGCCCGCCCCCTGGGCTCCTTACTGCCAGAGCTCCGCTCCTGTGCGCTCCCACAGGAAATGACCCCTGAATGGAATTATTCCTTTTCTCTGAGAAGAAAACATTGCTCCATAATATAAAACACAGGAGTCTGTTGTCTTTCATAGTTTAAAAAAAAACAGTGCCCCGAATTTGCTGTTTCGATGTATGTCTGTTGTGGAATCGGCTTTTGTTTACTTATTTTTATGTTCTTATACCCCACTTACCTCTCCCATCAGGGCCCAAAGTGGCTTACAACATTGTTCTCCCCTCCTTCATTTTATCCTCACAACACCCGCTCCATGAGGGAGGCTCGGCTGAGAATGTGTGAGCGGCCCAAAGTCACCCAGCGAGCTTCCATAGCAGAGCGGGGATTCAAACCCGAATCTCTCAGATCCTAGTCCAAAATGCTAATCAGTGTGAACTTGGGCAGATCACGAGAGGGAGGGCAGGAAGGGTTGCCTCAGTGCATAGTTCATGTGGCCCTTTCTTACATGCCCAGGGAAATGCTGATCGCCACTTTGGGGCCAGGAAGCCATTTT